GTCTATAAGAGACAATAGGATTTTGATTAGGATAAGAAAATGAAGGAAAAATTCCAAAGGGAAGTTTAGAATATGAGGAGATTTATTGAAGGCTGATCATGTATTCCAGAGGGCAGGTGCAAGAGTTTGTGAGTTAGATTTGGATCAGAATTCTTTGGGGATGGCCCTGGGAGATGATGGGTGACTTGGAGCCTTGGGCTTCCAAAGAGATTGTCATGAACGGGAATATAGGGCACGATGGGATTGATTGAGATGGACTCGAAGACACATTATGCGATTTTGGTGGGCTGGGTGGTGAGAGACTCTTGTCAGGAGAACTCAGAGAACAGATGTTGTTTAGGAACCTGCAGAAGCGGGAGCAGGCTGAATGCCCTCTTGTAGCTTTTTTGATGTAGTGTTGAGCCTAGAGAGTCAGAAGTGGCAGCACTGGGGAAATGCAGGTTTCTCTGACACCGCATGGCACTCCCACTGCTGGTGGTGGTGGTGTTGAGGCTGGCTGAGGTGTAGGGGCATTTTCAGCATCAAGGGCTTAGTAAATATCCCTCTGGCTGCTCGATCATGGCGGTTTCAAAGCTGGTAGAGAAAGGAACTGTGTCATCAGTTGTTCCTGCTCACTTCTCAGACTAGGGGAATGTGATCCTAGGTCAAATGATCTACCCCTGAGCAGGGTTGGAGCACATACAAATCCCATGATCCAAAAGAAGAGAAGGATCTTTCTCTAGAAAATTAGCAAAAGAGAAGTGAATGGATGCTGGGCAGAGAGTTAAGAATTGCATATAGCAACTGGTATCAAAGGCCCAAATACTAACAATGTCTTAAGCACTTATAATTGTGTTTCTCTTCTTTTTCTCCCATCTAAAAGGACAGAAGTTGGAAATTCAAAGCTGGTGTGATAGCTGCATTGTCATCAGAGACCCAAACTTCTTTTATTTTTTTGCTCTGCTGTCTTAGTGCATGATGCTTATCCTTTAATATCCTATACTTGTACTATACTATGCTGGGGTACTATTCCTCATGTCTGTATTTTAAGACAAAGGAGGCGGAGTGGATGGCTTAAAAGTACTCTCTCAGTTGCAACAGTCCCCATTCAAAAGCTTTCTAGGAGTCCCAAACAGCTTCAGCTTATATCTCCTTGACTGTCATTCATTGTGGTGGAGATGGGGAGTTGTTATCTTCTAGCTGTGCATATTACTATGCTGACCAAAACTGGGAAGGGTGGTTATTGGCTGTGCAACTAGCAGTCTGCCACAGCAGCAAAAACAAACGAACCAAACGATGTTAATGTGTAAGTCAAGATGAGCATTATGAACTAGGATTTACAGTAAGTGGGAAGAAAGGAGTGAAAAGCTAAAAGGACCAGAGTTGTGATCAGAGAGTAGAATATTGGAATTTAAGATTGCGGAGGTTGGACAGCTTGGCAGAGGTTGGGATCATTAAAAGGCCCAGGATATGCCCATGGCATCTGAGAAGTGAGTTGATCGTGAACCTGAAATCTCTGTTCTGGAAAAGATCCCTTCCTTTTGTTGGAACGTAGCCTGGAAAATGACAGCAAAGGCCCAGCTGAGGGCTGCAGATACCTACCTTTGTCACCCACCCCCAATCTACTGGCATCATCGTCCATTTATGACCAGACTCCTTAGACAGTTTCAGTTTCCCACCTGTGGGCAGATCGCTGAACAAGGTGATATTGCTTGGGCAATGCATTAGATAGGACACAGCCTTTAAATTGTCCCATACTAACTCAAAATATAAAGGTGTGTTATTTACTATTTGCCATTTTTTAAAAAGCACATTTTCTTGCTTGCAATGCATAGGCATTATTAAACTTAGTATTTTTGTCCTTATTTAGTAAAATGTGATCTAATCGTTTTCATTTTATATAGTAAGAACATGCCCTCGTCTCCGCCAACCCAAACATGGCCGGATAAGCTGTTCTGCGGGGGAAATGTCCTACAAGACCACGTGTTTGGTTACCTGTGATGAAGGGTACAGACTAGAAGGAAGTGCTAAGCTCACCTGTCAAGGAAATGCCCAGTGGGATGGTCTAGAACCCCGGTGTGTTGGTAAGTTCTGGAAGGTATGGTGCCTTCCATGATTCATTTCTCTTGCTCTCTGAGTTCTCCTGTTTTCTGTGAAGAAGGAGAACTGAAAACTGACTCAGAATGAATATAAATACACATCCATATATACAGACGCACAGAGATATACATATATAAACAAATATGTTGTTTCATTCCTTTCGACTGGTAAAAAGACTTCTACGCCAGAATCCAATTTTCCAAGTCACTGAAGTTTACAGTTTCAAATGCTAATGATTTTTTTTTAACTGGGGCCAATTTGGATGGATTTTTTAAAAAGCAAATGCTGTGTAATTCCCTCACTTTGTTGAACTCAATTTACTTTTACCTTGTTGATGAAAGGACAAAATTAGAACCAGTAAATCTTAAGATGGACCCTAAAATTCTGTTTCATCAGAAGATTTTCTGCCTTGTCCTTCACTGAGAGTTGTGACATATTATTACTGAACTTGGGTCCAGAGTGAATAAACTCAGTACCTCTTCCAGTTTGCTGCTTCTTTACACACTGTAGATACAAATAATGGTGGTGATAATGATGACGTTGAGTTGCTGAGAACTACTATTTAGTGAATCCTTACTATATGTCAGATACAGTATACCTGGGAGCACTAGCATGTATGTAATTAAATAACCAACTTCCAGAAAAGGAAGAAGAAGAACTATATGTAGGGAATAGATTGAGATATGTCGGGACCCAAGATGGGAAAACTAGATACTATATATATGTCAAGTCCTTCCAAATTGATTTACAGGTTTACTCTTGTATAATCTAGTGTTGGATCCATGGCTGATGATAAAGGAGGGTGTCACCAGGAAGGATGTTGGGCTTACCAGTGGGTTCATTAATAGTCCAAGAGTTGACCCTCACTCTGCAGGCTCAGAAAAACTGATATTATCATACTGAGAAGAGACTACTCTCTCTTAGATGGGAGAATGAAATTTACTAGTAAGCAAAGATTCAGTTCATTAACAATGAGATACCTACTACTGTGAGTACTGAAAGACATAGGCGTGACAAGCCTTGTATTTCCCTGTAGTCAGAAGCTACAAGGGTACCCAAACCATGAACACACTTAGTTTGCATAAAACCAAACCAAAGGGAGTTAGCCTCTTCAGATATTTCAGGAAGTTAAATGAAGTGAAGGGGATGGATCTGTCACCATAAAAAAGGTGCTTTGACAATGGGACAATAAATCTCAATAAATCTCTTTAGTTGGGTCAGTTGTCTCCTCTGGCTAGAATTTCCATGTACATACTACTGTTTACTCCTAAGAATTGTCCCTTTCCATGGTTCCATGACTGACAAACTCCTCTTGTGAGGGACCCAGTCTTCCATTTAAAATGGTAATACATGGGGCCGGCCTGGTGGCGCAAGTGGTTAAGTGCACGCGCTCCGCTGCGTCGGCCCGGGGTTTGCCGGATCGGATCCGGGGCGTGCACCGATGCACCGCTTGTTAAGCCATGCTGTGGCGGCGTCCCATATAAAGTAGAGGAAGATGGGCACAGATGTTAGCCCAGGGCCAGTCTTCCTCAAGAAAAAAACAAGAGGAGGATTGGCATCGAATGTTAGCTCAGGGCTGATCTTCCTCACAAAAATAAATAAATAAAAAATAAAATGGTAATACATTTAATAAGGCTACTGTGGAGTTACCCTGTCCTAAATTTTCTTTAAAATTATTGTGCACATCTCTGTAATGATTTAAAATGTATGCAAATCTTGGTGGATTTGATTATCACCATCAAAGAGAATTGCATTCTTATTTACAATTTATTGAGAAACAACTCACTGTAGCCCCCAAATTCGGACAACAACCATAATTACAATGAAAATTCTCATTTTAAAAAATTGATGGAAATGAATAGAAAGTGTATTGAAGAATAGACAGGTGTGAAACAGAAAGATTTTGAGTATGAGGTACAATGAGGGAGAACTTATTCTCACCATCGTAAAACAGATTGTGAACTGACAGAAATTAAAATAGCTCACTAATGGTACAGGGATACACAGAACAATGGAACTGCATATAACTACAAATTGGCTCAGAAACAAATGTTAATTTATAGAAGAATGTAATATTCAATAAAGGAAATTTCAAAAATCAATGGGAAAAAAGTTTATTTATCCAAGTTTGACTCTCACCTCACACACACACAGAATCACTAAATTAAGTTAAATTAGTTAATTAAATCAGGCAAATTAAGAAATAAAATATAAGAAAAAATATGGATTTTTAATGTAAGAGAATTTTCTAAAAATAAAAAGGCAATCTGAATTTTTAATGGAGAAAGACTTCCTGAGAATAAAAAGAAAAGAACAATAGATTTAAATACATAAAGATTTAAATTTCTGTACTTCAAGTGAATTCTCTGTGTTATTAAAAGGCAAACAGCAAAAAAGAAAGGTTATTTAAAACACGTTTAACAGCGTTGATGTTATTAACATTGGTCTTAATATTTTCTGAAGGATGGAACTAGACAAAAACATAAAAATATAAAGACTCCAATACAAAGAGAGGTAAAGGAAATTAATTAAATGGACAAATGAGAAATTAAAAAATGCAGTTTTTTTAAAATGAAATTGAGGGGCCGGTCCCGTGGCGCAGCCGTTAAGTGCACGTGCTCCACTGCTGGCGGCCCGGGTTCGGATCCCGGGCCCACACTGACGCACCGCTTGTCAGGCCATGCTGTGGCGGTGTCCCACATAAAGTGGAGGAAGATTGGCACGAATGTTAGCTCAGGGCCAGTCTTCCTTAACAAAAAAAAAAAAAAAAAAGGAGGAGGATTGGCATGGATGTTAGCTCAGGGCTGATCTTCCTCACAAAAAACAATAAAAAAAATGAAGAGAATAAAATGAAATTGAGAAACCCCTAAAGCCAAAGTTATGAGGTGTAGGCTAAATAATATACCGATATAATTTCATAGCTATAAATCCTTTCATTATTAAACAGGAAGAATAAAAATAACTAAACATTAAATTCAAAAGGTAGGAAAAGAATGATTGCAAGGAAAGTCAAAAGAAGTACATAAAGATAAGTAAAATTGAAAATGGACTAAAAGGAGGTGGGATGCAGTAGAATGGATAAAAGGGAAATCTTTGAATGAAGTAATATAATAGATTTTAAAATATAAGTAAGAAAAATGCAAAAATAGAATTTTTCTGAGAAGCTATAACAAAGTATCTAGAGGTCTGAGGTTTTTAAAAGAATAATAAAACCTTATACATAAATTTATGCACCTAAATTGAATACTCTTGATATTATATATGGTTTTCTAAGAAAATGGAAATTCTTAAATGAGTCAAGAAAAAATGTACGAATGCAAATGTAAAATTCCTCGTAAAAAAATGGAAAATGTTATCAGAGGATTAATTACTCCTCCAAAAATGACTGAGGGATCAATGAGGGAAAATTCTTTCCAAGTTTTAAGATACAGTAATTCTCATAACATACAATTTGGCCCAAGTAGTGAAAGCTAATCAATTCATGTTATCAAACTATTATTATTTTGTTGCAAATCTGACAATTATTAACAAAAAAGATACAAAACTATGATAGCAAGTATGCTAACCATTCGCATTCAAAAGAATGGTCTGCCAAAATGAGTAGAGTTTATCCTAGGAATGTGAGAAGGGTTTAAAATCAGATACTCTATCAACATAATAAATTATCTCATTATAACAAACAGGAAAAACTCATATGATTACTTAGTAGAAGATAAAAATGACTTCATTATCATTTAAAGCATTTTCAATAGAATTCTAAGAAACTCATATTGACAACTGACATAATAAAAAAATGTTCACCTTAAACCTGCAGCCACTTATGGAAACAATATAGACAATCATATTAAATCTGGAAAAAGAAAAGGATGCTCACAATCACAATTTTTATGAAGTCATAAAAATACCAATTAAACAACTTTTCTACATACAATGATAAACAGAATATATAGTGAAAAATCACATTCAAAAGATCTATAGGAAATATAAAATATGTAAGAATAACCTGAAACAGAAATGTGTGGAACCTGTATTATACAAACTACAAAATGTTCCTGAGAGACAAAAAGAACATTTTAATATATTTATACTTAATCAAAATCTAAGTTCTCTCCTAATGTATGTATAGATAAAATGCAACCTCATTCAATAGTCTTAAAGGGATTTTCTTTTTCCCCCCCTTTTTGGAATTAGGGATTGATTCCAGGGTTCATCTGGAAGAATATGCAGACAAATATCACTAAAATAAGATTCAAAGGGAAGAATAATAATAGTAAAGAGAAAGTATATATATTTAAAATATATACTAAAGCTGCAAAAATGAAGAGTTTGCAAGGATTGCCAGACACATCAAGGGGACTGAATATATCTTGAAACTTAAGAGTTTCACGTATTATAAGGAAGCACCACATATCAGTTGAGAAGAAAAGATTTACTCAACTGATAATCTAGGAAAATTGACTAGTTCCTTGGGAAAAACAAAATGAACAAAATGAAATTTTCATATGTTTTTAAGTCACAGCAGACACTGACATAAGTTCTTCATAGATTTTAAGATGTAAATCCATTAAAACTAGAACAGAGGATAGTTAAACCACATAAGTGAATGTTAACCAATCTCAGAACTTGTTAAGTATAAAAGCAATGGGGGTAAAATCAGTAGATTAGACTATATAAAAATTAAGGACACATTCACCCAAAATACCATAAGCAAACAATAAAAAAGAGAATATTAACAGGAAGTAAAATCTTCAACAATTATGACAGCCAAAAGGATAATTTTCTTAATTTATGAAGAATCATCCCTAAATAAAGGATATTGAGTCCCACATAGTCGTTATATTTAAACCACAAATTTGGCTCTGATTTTCCTCTTGATCAAAGCAGAACAGGAAGTCTGGCAGTTACATGGCGCATACTGTGCAAAAATAAAGAAACAAACCAATTTCTCAGGAAAAATCACTTTCGCTGGCACAGAGTTTTGAAGGAAATCATTTCGGGGAGGAGGCGTCAAGGTGGAGTGTTTAGGAGCACAGAGATTCTGCCACTTACCTGCTGGGTGACCTCAAAAATGTTAACTATGGGTGACTTTGCCATAGTTATGCCTCAGCACTCTTGTTTGTAAATGGGTATAACAACATTATTCCTTATTGTGTAGGATTGAGTCAATACATGTAAAGCACTTAGAATAATGCCTGGCACATAGTAGGTACTGAATAAATGTTAGCGATTATTGCATGGGGAATACAGACTAATGATGCTAGCAATGCTGCCAGTACAGTCACTACTAGCACAAACAAATGTGCATACGGGTTCACGAGCATGCGCACGCACGTACCCTGCATTAAGTCCTAGTCTTGATTTTCCACTCTATCTGCATTCTGCCTAATTCATCTGCTATTCTTCATTTATGCTGAAGATAACATTAAGGGTCAAGACTCTATAACAGTGATTTTAGGGAGGGTATAAAAACTTTTCTCATAATATGCTCGCTTAAAGATGGCACCAGAAAACTCATAAAATGGAGGCTGATTGCTGAATATGTTGCTTAATCCATGAAAGATGGAATCCAGTTTACTATTTTATACTTCAGAGCTGTAAAGTACTGTTCTGCAAACTGAATGAAGGTGCTCCAAGCAAATGATAAAAGTCACAGTCAGCCTTAATTAATATATCAGTTAGAAGTCTTTCAAGGTTTTGATACACTGGCAAAATAACATGAGGTAACTACAGAGATATAGTTTAGCATTATTTACAGTACATCATATATTCAGTGTCATATACAGATATCATTTAGTGACTCATGTCAATTCCAAGGCAGCACAATCGTGTTTTTCTTGGGTAAAGAGAATCTGTGGTATTTGCAATTTGCGGGAACACAAATAACATTCTCCTATTTCCCTACAACAGAGCGCCACTGCTCCACCTTTCAGAAGCCCAAAGGTGTCATCATATCCCCCCCTAACTGTGGCAGGCAGCCAGCCAAACCTGGGATGATTTGTCAGCTAAGTTGCCGCCAAGGGTTCGTTTTATCTGGTGTCAGAGAAGAAGTGAGATGTACCACCTCTGGAAAATGGAGTGCCAAAGTTCAGACAGCTGTCTGTAAAGGTAGGTCCTTTACACTGGTCAGGTTAAAAATGAAATTATCTAATGACATGTTGGTACAGCATGGGACTGTCCCTTTTTATAACTTTTGCTGCAGACCCGTGATAAAATGGTAGATGTTACCCCAAAATATACTATGAGGATTTCTGTTTCAAAATGGTGAATTGACAAAATCCAATCACAATGTGCCAGGCAATGATAGAAGAGATAGAAAAATAAGGATAATGTTAGAGCTGGAAATCAGGTAAGTTTTCCATCAGGAGATGAAAATCTTTGAGGAATTTCTGGCCCATATGAAACAGGTGAGACTAAATCAATTGAAAAAAAGTTCTCAGCACTTTGAAACCTACATCCCTTGACCTTCACAGGAGAACATTGCCATCTTCCTTGCCAAGAGCAGACTGCTATGAAAAAGGAGGTATTGATAACAAGACAGAGTTCTTAGAAGTAGAAATATCATGTACATCTCTAAAAGAAGGGCAAAAAAGTAGAATGGATGTTATTGACAACAGCGTTAGTATTTGAAGAACCAAATTGAGAGTTCCCTCAGAATGCAGAACTGGTAAGCAAAGAACTTGAATATCCCAACTGATCAAACCGAAAAGATGAAAGTTAAGAGATACCAATGATAGATCAAGAAATCCCAATGTCCATTTAATAAGGAGTTCCAGAAGGAGAGAGGAAAAGAGATGGAGGACTAGAATTTTCCTACCAGTAGAAGAAAGTTTCCATAAGCTACAGAAAAGCTTGAACTTTTAGATCAAAAATAGCCTCTGAGTATTGGGTAGGCATACTTTCACCACTCCTGGTGAAATTTCTGAGGTGCGAAGTTAATGAGAAAATCTAAAGTTTCTAGTGAGAAAAGAGAAATTGCACAAAAAAACACAAGAATCAGACTCACATTATTACACTTCCAACTCTAAATGCCAGAAGGAAGTGTAGCAATGCCTCAAGAATATGGAGAGAAAAAAGATATAAACCCTAAATTCCAAATCCAGTCAAGTTCCCGTTTCATTCAAGTGTGAATGAAAAATCAAATACTTTTTTAGATTTTCAGAGTCAATATGCTAATGCATCTTTGTGGGGAAAAATTGTCCAAGTATAAACCCCTCTGAGAAAAAATATATATAAGTTGAATAAAATTTTAAAGAAACAAGAAGATATGAGACACAAATAATATCAATTTAAATATATTCAGCTGCAAATTACAGACCTAATTTAACATAACTTAAGGGGATTTATTACATCATAACTTAGCTCTACAATGACTGATGTGAATACGTATAACGTTACCACCGCTAATTCAGTATCTGTACTGCAAAATTTCACGCTGCAAAAAATATCATTGGCTTTAATTTGTTGTTTGTTTTGACAATACATTTTAGCACTACTGATTAATTCTACTTGACAGCCTTGTTTTCAAATGTAGTTCTTTGCTGCCACAGTCAACATTTTTTTTCTGTTTATTTCTTTATTTTATTCAAAAAATATTTATCAAGCTCCTGTTATATGCCAGGAACTATATAACACAATGGGACAAGAGATACCCTGGTGTTCAAAGAACTTAAATTCTTTTCAAGGAAAAAATTCAATTTCAAAATGGCGTGTTGAATTTTCTGGTTAGGAAGGACAGAGGGCTGTGGGAACTTGTGGAATGAGCGCCTAAAATGGACCGAGGGGTCAGAGAAAGCTTCCTGAGGAGCTGGTGTCTAAGCTGAGAATTGAAGGACAAGTATGAGTTATCTAGGTAAAGAGAGAAGAGGGCATTGATTCAGGCAAATAAAAAATCACAGACAAAGATCCATATTCAAGAAAGACCATGGAGCTTTCATAGGACTGAGAGATTCAGCATGGAGTGTGAATTCCGGAAGGGGATCTATAAGAGGTGAGGCTAAGAGGCCAGCAGGTACCAGTTCAGGAAGGGCCTTTAAACCACGCTGAGATAAATTATCCTGAAGGCAGTTGTGCATTCCAAATCAATCAGGAATTGGGATGTAAAAAATGAGGCACAGAGTATTCGTATATTTTACCTTTTTCTTAAATGCCTTAGAATTACCTATCAATATATTAATTGATTTGTTTATTTTCTGAGTCAGATGTGGAGGCTCCTCAAATCAACTGTCCTAAGGACATAGAGGCTAAGACTCAGGAACAGCAAGACTCTGCTAATATCACCTGGCAAATCCCAACAGCTAAAGACAACTCTGGGGAAAAGGTAAGATTTGTGCAAATATTTGCATACTTTTTCAGATAGATTCTAAATACACTGCAAATATGTGTGATATTGAAGATTTACTAATACAGTCTTGCATCACAATGACAGGGATACGTTCTGGGAAATGCATCGTTAGGCGATTTCATCTTTGCACGAACATTATACAGTGTACTTACACAAACCTAGAGGGTATAGCCCACTACACACCTGGACTATACAGTACTAATCTTATGGGACCGCTGTCATATATGTGGTCTGTCATTGACCAAAACATCATTATGTGGCACATGACTGTACTCTAATGATAGTACTCTCTATATATACTCTACTCATAAATATTAATCTCGCATTTGATAAAAGAATAATCAGGCTTGATTTTCTAATCAGAAATCTCAGATAAAAATTTCTAAAATGGAAACTTTTCATTCCATGGATTTTTTGTATCGTGTATCCAGTAAGATTTCTTGACTAAGAGTTCTTTGCCCCTTACTAGGCTCTGAAGATCTTTTAAAAAAAGCAAGATGTGGAATCAATCTTAATTCCTATTTATGAACATGTCTTTTAAAATATGAGCCCCAAATAGTTGCATATTGGCGAATCTGAAGGAGATAACATCTGTTGTTTCTTATTCAGCTTTTCTCAAACCAGCATTACTCAGAACATAGTATACTAATATTATATATACAATAGCTTGAGATAATTATCTATCAGATGCTGGAAAAGGAATTAATTTAGGAATTTAACTTCCTCTTAAATTTATACTGTTAGCATTCACATGTATAAAGATGCCCTTAAATGGTATATTGTTTTCACATCTGCATATAAATATGTATAAGTTATGCCGGCCAGGATATATGGAGGGATATATGGGATGCACAACACCAAAAATATATCACTGTTCTGATAATTGTGTTGAACATACTTATAAATCAATGTAACTTTTTAAAAAATATGTTATTAACAATAGTCACCCTGCTGTACGTTACATCCGTAGGTCTTATTTGTTTTGTAACTGGAAGTTTGTACCTTTTGACCCCCTTCACTCATTTTGGGCCCCCTGCTCCTACCTCTGGCAGTCACCAATCTGTTCTCTATGAGTTTGGGTTTTTTTGTTTTTAGATTCCATATGTAAATGAGATCATATGATATTTGTCTTTAGATAACTAAAGACATGGTAACTTTTAAATTGGATTTTAAAAGTGCAAATGTGACTTTTCGGGCTAAATGTATTGTATATGATGTGCTTGTTAAGTGGTCTCTCGTGTGCAATTTCCACTTTCCATTAAAAGGCCCATGAAAGCGTGCGTCATCGTCGTCGTGATCGTCATCATCAAACACTAAGAAAAGTACAGGAACATATTTCAGGATCTCATGAGAATTCACACTGAATGTAGCACCTGTGTGTTGAAATATTTTTTAAAATACAGTGGAAAAGACAAATGTATTTGACTATAATTTTTTAATTTGTATTTTTTTTAATTCCTAAATTAAAAGACAAATAGCAAACTAGAGAAAAATGTGTCAAACTTGTCAAAGGTTAGAATGTTTATTACATAATATATTAATATAAATTTATTCTCATCACATCATAATTTTCAAATGGACTAAGAAGGTAAACATATAATTCGAAAAAGAAAAGATATCTTAGCATATGACGTTAAGACACTGCGAATTAAAACAATGACCTGGTGCCATATTTTTGACTTACCAAAAAGTAGTAATATTTAATATAGATCAGAGAACTTTGGGTGAGAACTTTGACATTGACACTATCAAATACTGACAATGGGAATGCAAATTATTACCATGCTTTGGGAAAGAAATTTTGTATTACCTATCAATAAAATGTTAATGACTTTGAGGTCAATAATTCTGTTCATTGAAACTTATTATAAGGACATAATAAAAATATTTTTAAATTCTCTGTGGAAAACTGTTCATCCCAGTGTTGTTTACAATGGTAAAATTTGAGATCAGTTTAAATGTCCTTCAATAGACTTTTCTTAAAGAAATTACCATGTATTTATTCTACAGAACATTATGGAGACATTTAAGAGTCATCTCAAGTTCTAAAGGCTATGTAATAGCATAAAAAATGTTTGAAAATAAAATGTTTAAAAAACAAAGAACAACGTTTCATATGTATGCCAATGCTATAAACTATGTAAATAGAATAGTCTGGAAAGAAATACACCAAAAGACTGTGCCTGATTTTTTTTCCTTTTTGCTGTCTACGAAATATTGTGTCATTTTTAACTTCACTCTACTAATAATATACAAATCAAAAAAGAATAAATGTACTATTGATATTAACATTAACTTTCAAAATATTTATCTATCTCCAAAAGGTGTCAGTCCACGTTCATCCAGCTTTTACCCCACCTTACCTTTTTCCAATTGGAGATGTTGCTATCACATACACAGCAACTGACCTATCCAGTAACCAAGCCAGCTGCACTTTCCATATCAAAGTTATTGGTAAGTCTTCAAATTACTTGGGTAGGTTTGTGAAAATAATCCAGTACCCCAAAGGCTTTGCGTCTCCTTTCTTCAACAACTCCCTTCCCACTGACTCTTCCTACTGGCATTGAAAACTACTCAAGCCACTCCTTTGAAACTTACATACTCCTAAACTGTCACTGTATCTCTGATTTCTTCCCATATGATCCTTTTGAAAAGCTCACAATGGTTGCCACCTCTTTTGGCTTAACTGCCATTTATTCTCAAAGTCACTCAAGTCTGGCATCTCTCTCCTTCACTCATATATAGTCATGCACCGCATAACAACATTTCAGTCAGTGACAGACCACATATGCAACCAAGGTCCCATAAAATTAGTACCATTAGCCTAGGTGTGTGGTAGGCTATACCATCTAGGTTTGTGTCAGGACACTCTGTGATGTTCACACAATGACAAATTCACCTAACGATGCATTTCTCAGAATATATCCCTGTCGTTAAGTGATGCATGACTATAAACTGCTTTCATCAAGGTCACCAATGATCTGTAGAGTTACTATTACTGTACCCTTTTTAGTCCTTATCTTACATAATCTTTCTTTAGATTTTACATTATTAACCACATTCTGTTTATCAAAACTGTCTCCTTCCCTAGCTTCTCCGACACCAGTCTTTCTTGGTTTTCCCCCCGTTTTTTTCATGTATCCTGCTTTGTCTATTTCCTAGGCTTCTCTTCCTCAGACCAACTGTCAAATGTGAATCATCACCAGGATTCCGGCACTGTCCCTCTTATCTTTCTCTCTCTATAGTTTTCCTGGTGATTTTGTTAACTGACGACTCCCAGATATCTATCTCCAGCTTAGATCTCTTTTCTGAAATTCAAACTAATATATAAATCTGCCTACTGGACTTTCCCATGTGATGACCCATAGGCATTTCAAACTCACTCAAACCTAATATATTTCTTAGCTCAGAAAATGGCACAACCAACCACTTAGCTTTCAAGCAAAAATCTAGAAGTCATCCTTGACTCTTTTCCTTCCATCACCAACATCCAATAAGTTATCAGCTTTTACTAGTTTCATCTACTTAACATCTCTGGAATTTGTCCCCATCTCTCCATCTTCACAACCAGTCCTGTAGATCAGTCTTTTTTTTTTTTGGCCTGGTTTACTGCATCTTCTCCCAATTGGTCTTTGTGCTTTCAGTCAATTCAGTAGATATTCAACAAATACCAGATACCCACCACCAAGTGTAATACATGGAGAAATAGGATATTTAGCAGTCTGTAGAGTTCAGAACACAGACTCTGAACCAAATTTGCTGGAGTCCATATCTGGCTCTACCGCGAAAAGGCAATGTGATGAGTCACCTCTCTGTGCCTCAGATTCTTCATCCAAAAATAGAATTAATAAATGTATTACCTCATACGGTTGTTGTGAGATTTTTAATTAAAGATATATAAACTACTTGAAGTAGTGTCTAACAGACATTAAGCTCTGTGTAAACATATTGACATTTTGCTATATTTGTCTCAGGTATATTTTAATATATTTATTTTAAAATTCAACACATTAAATTTATTTTAAGAAATTTACATAACTCCTTCAAGTGACTTATGTATATCAAACTGGCTCCTGACCCTAGAAATTATAGGTTTTGGTAAAAGTAGATAAAAAGACTCAAGTGAAAATCAGTCTAATTCGTTTCACATTGTTTAGTTTTTTTAATTGCTTTTTCAATGTTGTTTTAAACATGACTTCACCAGTCACATGAAAAGTATATTGGCTTTGTTTTTTGTGGTGATTTTAAGCATGGAAATGTGGTTCAAGAGTTTGCCAAGTTTTAATTTTTCCTAATGAAGAGTCAGCATGGTGAAATGTAAAATGTGTGCTCAAGTGTCCAGCTAGACCCCAGCTGAATTTTCAAATTATGAAAGAGAGAGAGGGAATGGGAAAGAAGAGGAGCCGGAGAAGGAGCGAGAAAAGGAGACAGGAGAGAGAAGAAACAGAGAGAAAATATTCCAAAGCCTACATTTTCTTGTTTTTCTGAGATGACAGAGTGTTGGTGTCTTACTGATAAATGAGAGGAAACAGAAATGTTTTTGCTTAGCATTCCAGAGAATGCTGCCTCACTTGCTTTGAAATGGACTTTCTCTGTCTTTTGGAGAGAAAGCATCTGCTGGTACCTCCGATTCTTTTCACAGTATTTTACCTAGTCTTTCTGCTCTCTTGTACCTGAGATTCAACTTTAAAATGGTTGGCTAAAATCAGACAAGTTGAGAAAATCTTGGAAATATCCATTTGCAATTTCTTTTGGGAAAATCATGAATTCTGCCAGATGTGTCATTTTAACTGTGAGTTGACTTGATTCGGCATTCACAAAGTGCACTGACCTCCTATGAGCATTCCTTTATTCTTTTCTTTATTCAGCAACTTTTCTGAGCACCTATTATGGGCTGGGGATTGTGCAATGCAGTGGAGGCCTAACTGTAAGCAAAAGAGGCTCCATCACTGGTCAACCGAGTTTACAGTCTAGGAAAATAGTAAATTAAACATATTCTACAACATGTACTAATGAAATGACAAGGATGAGGAAAAGAGAAAAATTGAACAGTTATTCTTAAGACTTAAAACAGAAATCTATATATGCTCACAGGTACAGCCTATTTAATTTCAGAGTATGTGTTTTCATATATCATAGATAGAAATACCCTAGCTTAATGATGTCAGTCAAGTCCCTTAAGTGCCTAGTCTGAGATTCCTTACCTATAAAATTAGAAAAATATTTGTCCAGTCTCCCTCAAAGGCATGTGATTATGGATATAAGAACATTTCAAATGTGTAAAATCAATAATTATATTAAAATTACCTCCTATACACCTTCTTTGTTGTCCTTTACTGACATGCTAAAAATTCCCCCACATTCAATCAGAGCTTTGAAACCTGGCTCACCCACGCCACCTCAAACCCCTCCTTCCACATGGATTACAATGCTCAGCAACACAGACTCACGGTTCTTTAATTTCTGCTGCGGTTTTCACCCTCTCTCCACTAGAGCCTGCTACACGCATGTTCACACCCTGTTCTCTGTCTCTACCTAGATTTTTTCAACCTTAGAAATCTTGGACTCCAGTGTCCCACCTTTGGACATAACCTCCTGGCCTTCCAGCAGCGTCACATCCTTGCTTATATCTTGCATATTCTACAACATGCCTCAAATCTCTGCCCATTGGTCCTTCCATTTAACCATCTATCAGCCCTGTCTTGACCCTTCAGATAAGAGGGGGATCATGAAAGTGACTGGTTGGTCATTTCACTCCTTCTGCTTGTTTGGAAAGCTTCCCTTCACTTCCAGGTGGGTCAGCTCAACTACTGGGGGCAGAACTCACAAATTAAATGCCCACTACATCGAGAATTGCCTTTCACACCGCTGTGCTCATGGTGATTTTAGTAGCCTAGTATTTCTTCTTCAACAGGCAGAGGAGAGTATAGCAAGAATCAGGTTTTTCTTTTGATGTTGAGATCAGGGATAAAACATGCCTAATCATCAAAGGGGCCTCGGGGCCAGCCTTGTGTCTAACAAGGTCAAGGTTCTCTGCCAGCACAAGTAGACTTCAGTTCCCTCTTGCAAACCCCCTCATCAATTTTGAATATCATTGGTGACTTATTTCTCTGATTTCATTTTCTTTAGATGTAGAACCACCGAGCATAGACTGGTGCAGATCCCCACCTCCAATCCAGGTCTCGGAGAAGGAGCATGCTGCAACCTGGGATGAGCCTCAGTTCTCAGACAACTCAGGTGACAATGCAGGGATGTTGTTGTCCGCATGGTAACACTGAATTATGTTTTATTTGAAAACGCTTTTAAAAAGGATAAAAGAGAAATGAAAAGCAAATTACATCTAAGTAGAATGGATACTTATATAAGGTAATATGTTTTAATGCTAGGATAATTATAAATAATTATAAATAATTTAACATTATTAATCTTACCTACCCATGGGGTTTCCCTTCACTCAGTATTCAGTGGACATTTATTAAACCTGTGCTAGGTGTTGTACTTGAAGATGTTCTAATGAATTTGTTGAGTTTCTAAGCTTACCTTGTCCTGAGGGCATAAACTGTGTGTTCTGTTGGTATCTCCAGTTCAGTTCTATGTATTCATGCTCGTTTCTTAAACATTTGCTCCCAAAATTATAAAAGTTCATAAGAAAGCAGAAAAAAATGAACAAATAAAACTGAAATTCACTTTAAAGATTTTACTAAAACCCAGAAAACAATAAAAATGCAAATAGATTTCTTAATTAAATTTCCAATGATCAGATAGACTTACCTATTCAAGGAAAATCATTTAATAAATAAAATTTAAATTAATTGGTTAATTAAGTGCCTTAATTTAATGAGGTTTGTGAGTCTACTATTTCCATGTTAACATCTTTATTTTCTACTAGTGGCCAAATCAACGTAAATGAAATGCCCAGTTGGTTTGTATAAATAGAAAATGAAAATTCCAGTCAAATAAAGTGACTGCAGACCAATAACCCAAAATTGGATTCCTTCTTTCCTTTCTAGGGGCTGTATTGGTCATCACCAGAAGTCATACACCAGGAGATCTTTTCCCTCATGGGGAGACTGTGGTGCAGTATACAGCCACTGACCCCTCAGGCAATAACAGAACATGTGACATCCACATTGTCATAAAAGGTATTCTCTTCATAAGCCTCCAAAAATCTAGTTGCCATTTATGTATGTAATTGCTATTGCACCCTGTTTTGTGAAAGAAAATGGGCTATGAGCAGTAGATTTTTAAAGTTAGAATGCTAACAGATTTTATTTAGGTTTCCAGTTATTATTACTTCACTTCATGATAGATAGAAATATTTTCTTCTAGAGTAGTCTTTAATTAATAATATATATATTTTTTTTTTGGTAAGGAAGATTAGCCCTGAGCTAACATCTGTTGCCAGCCCTCATTTTTTGGTGAAGAAGATTGGCCCTGCACTAACAACCATGCCCACCTTCCTCTACTTTATATGTGAGACTCCTGTCACAGCACAGCCTGTTAGGCAGTGCGTAGGTCTGCACCCGGGATCTGAACCCGAGAACCCCAGGCAGCTGAAGCGGAGCGCGTGAACTTAACCACTATGCCACCAGGCTGGCCCCTCATTGACAATTTATTAATATTTTCTCCAAAGTTACAAAGTGTTATTGTCATGATCCTGTTTTGAACACTTGAGGAGACAGATTCTGAAAATGTATTTGCGACATAATGTTATCTAGTTTTCATTTCTATTAAAGGAATGCCAAAGATAACTCAAAATCAGAAATACTTTTAGCTTTTCATAAAATATGCACAACCTCTAATTACACATAGATACAGCTCTTCTACTATGCCCACCTAGGAATCAAAAAGCAGACATTGCTGCAATCACACTAGGATGTATGGTGAAAGTTTTTCTAGGAATAGTGGTGGACAGGAGGAATCTTTTTCAAAATTCAGCTTTCGACTCCTGGAATTTAATTTATATTTCTGATACCACTGTATATGAATAATACAATTTTTTTTACACAGGTTCACCCTGTGAAGTTCCATTCACACCTGTAAATGGAGATTTTATATGTACTCAAGGTAGTGCTGGAGTGAACTGCACATTAAGTTGCCTGGAGGGCTATGATTTCACAGAAGGCTCTACTGAAAAGTATTATTGTGCCTATGAAGATGGTATCTGGAAACCGCCATATTCCACAGAATGGCCAGACTGTGCTAGTAAGTTTTACTTTATTTCTGGACTCCTTTAGTACGTGTGAATATGTGTCTGCCTATGTGTGTACATTTCTAAGCATTAAAGAGGAAAATTGCCTTACTATAGGGATTAGGTTCGGTAATTGGAAAATGGTGCTGTGAATTTGAAATGTTTTCAGCTAAGAGAAATGTTCATCTCTCAATTTAAATTATTAGCCTACCGGAGTCTTATTGTTGATTAAAATTGCTATAGGACAAGACCAGTTTAAGGCAAAACCATCTTGGCCCTCTCATTGTTATTTACTAGAAATATCTGGAGAGACTTGTCAGCATGTTCTTGATCTGTAAACTTGAACTTCAAGTATAGTCTCCTAGTCTGAAGAAGAGCTTATATTTAAAGAGCCAACATGTCTGATGGAATGAGAGAGATCAATCACATTCTCTTTAGATGTGGTGTAGACTTAGAGCTATCCCACAATCTTAAATATATATTGTTATAAAAATAAGCCAATATCTTTGTTTAGTGTTAATAAATATTCTCGGAGTGAATCTTTGACCCAGTACCCTAGGTAAAGTTTAAATGCCAATGTCTTGAAAAAAGAGTAAAGCTCAGTTACTAGAGCTATTTTTTTTTCCAAATTTGGGAAGTAAATAGAAGCAATGTCACTCATCTCTATCACGGATTTAGGTGGTAGAATTTTAATGGTGATGCCATTAGGAGGCATTGTCTCTGAATATTTTGGGACATCTTGCTGAGTCTACCATACAAGCTTCTGATCCAAGGAGAAATTTGTCTCTGTGAAGTTACACTTTCAAGAGATATAATTTTACATAATATTCAAGAAATTATTCAATGTCTATTGGTTGAATATATAATATAAACATATATGTTATAAATTTATATAAATATAAAATATAATATCTTTGACCCAGCCAGGATTTTTCAAAAATTCCCAGGAATATAATGAAAACAATTTTTATCTCTCTTTTTCCCTTAAATGCTCACTTTCTCATATGATTGGAAGGTAAAGAGTAATACATCAAAGCAAATTCATCACTGGGTAACTGGGTACATTGCTGCTTGGCTCATGGTTTATGATGATCAATTAATGCTTAGAAACTTTCCTTAACTGTCATCTCTTGTTTTTATAACAATCCCACAAATCATGTTAGAATTAAAATACTAAGTTATACTTATTCCATCGAAAGTTAAATCTTTGTTTTGAAAACACTAACCAACTGAATCTGTTTTTTCCAACATTTTCCAGTAAAACGTTTTGCAAATCATGGGTTCAAGTCCTTTGAGATGCTATACAAAGCAACTCGTTGTGATGACACAGATCTGTTGAAGAAGTTTTCTGAAGCATTTGAGACTACCCTGGGGAAAATGGTATGTCAGTGGTATTCCTTCATTGTTTGTCATATTTTAAAGGATGCTGTTGAACTTTTCATAGCCTCTCTGGGTTGCCTGCAACAGAAATTCCTTGTCCTGATGATTTCCTTCTTCTTTGTGATCCAAACTTGCTCCTAATATTTAGAATTATTATTCAGTTTTGGACTTCTGGAGTGAATTATAAGTAAATCTGTATTAAAACATTCTGAATTTTTTAAAACATTCTGAGGCAGAAAGTCAGAGAAGCTTAGGGTCCATGTGGTTTGAGAATGTCTGCTTTGTTATTTAACGTATGACAAAAATGCCATTGTAGACTATTTCTTTTATGATGAGGAGATAATTGAACATTTAAAAAATTTTCTTTTTCATGCATTTTTATTTGGGACCCGTTCAGTGATTACAGGAAGGCAAAGCAATGTATTTAACTCTGTTGAGCATCTTGAAGGCGGGCAACATGTCATATACATATTTATATCCCTAACAGAGTAGGTAGCTTAGATTTTGGATAGATTCCGAAAGTATATTTAGTAGTAGGAGTAGATGTAGAATGTGAGAGAAAGCAAGAAGTCAAGGAGACAGAGAATACAAGAACAGAGATAGGGGAGTGGGTACACATGGTGGTGGAAGTAGGTGAAAAAAGGATCTTTTCTGACTGCTTTATCAGTGAAAAAAGATGCAGAATGATCAGCCTAGAGTTAGGATGGGGAGGAGTTGTTGGAGGTTTGAGAAAGAGACGATGGTGTAAAATAATTTTCTAGGAGAGCATAAATGAATATTCTAGAAGAATGTAGTAGGATCGGCAATAAGCAGGGTTGTTTTTGCTCTCCAGCTATGGTTGACCATGTGGGTGCAAGTGTGGAAAAAGCAGAGCAATTAATTTAACTAGGGTTAAGGGTTCTCCAGACAAATAAATTGAGGAGGGCGCATGCAAGGGAGTAATTCATGGTGATGGACCATGGAATCTAAGATGGGTAAGTGAGGAAGTGAAGACAGCAGGCACTGAGGGACAGTGAAGAGGTGGTAGGATCGATGGATTATAAGTTCTCATGAAGTCAAAGAATTGTTGGACTCCTGGGAGGAGGAGAGGGTGCGGTTACTGGTAATGATGAGGTCTGAGGGTATGACCATGAGAGTAAGTGACCAAGTAAGACTGGAAGACAAGAGGAGAAGAGGAAGCCAAGGTGATGGAAGGATTAGCTAGGTGGATACAGAAATCCCCAGGAATTGTAACAGAGACAGTAACTAAATGTTTTTGGAATGAGGGGTGACTCAAAGTGGGGAAAGGCCGCAGATGGGCCACGAGGACAGACAATGAGTGGTATAGTTGATGGCAGGAGCTTCGAAACTGTGAGGCTTTAAGGAGGGGCAAGGGAACGTGACCTGGAAACAGCAATGAAGAGTGAGGAAGACACTTCGTCACCTCCACACCCACCACTTGAGAAAACTGGAAAGTCAGGTTTCATTGAGAGTAAAGGTGAAGGGGACATAAAGAGAGGAGGTAAAAAAATAATAGATTTGCTGATTACTGACTGTGAGCTTCAGAGAGCATAGAGGAAGGTTTTGAGGATGTGGAGAGGGGTGGGAGATAGAGTCAGAGAAAAGGGATCTAAAGAGCCCCATGAGGTGAAAGTTCAGAGACAAGAGATTTCCCAGGAGTCCTGGGCTTTTGGTGGTAAGTAACATAAACAGAGAGAGGAGGCATCGCACTAATCCTGGTCGTCCACAGGCAGTTGGAGGTGGTAGGGGAGGGATTGGAGGAGGGTCAGGAGCCTTTTCAAGAACAGGCAGAGCACTAGGGCCCTCCCCTCCCTCCTGCTGATGGAGATGTGAAGGCCAGGGGAGCCGAGGGTTTATCCAAAGCACACAGGGATGTGAATTACATTTTGTCCTCTTCATTTTTTATTTGCAGGTCCCATCATTTTGTAGTGATGCTGACGACATTGACTGCAGACTGGAGGACCTGACCAAAAAATATTGCCTCGAATATAATTATGATTATGAAAATGGCTTTGCAATTGGTAATTAAATTCTTTAGTGTCGGTAGTTTGCAAGACTGATCTGCAAAATAAGAAAGTAATTCCAGAGGAGTGGGGAAAACTAGGAAAATGAACTTTTATTAATTTATTCATCAAGTATTTTAGGATGACTGGATAATTTGATACTGTGCTTAATAATCTTTATGGATATATTAAATTTGGGGTGTCAAATAAGTTATTTCAAAATATTAGCTGAAACTCTTCAGAATGATAAAAACTAGGAAAATGAAATCACTAAAACTAAATCAAAAATAATTATGATTGTAAAATTCAGATATTGATATGATATCTTAGAAGAGAATAGGAATAGTTGTAAAGTACTAACAGTAATTTTTATATGGCATTCAATTTAGATTGTAATTAAGCCATTAATGTAAAATAGTTACACATGTAAAATATTCAGATTTCTCACCCAGAATATGTTAAGACTCAATCTATTCAAGTCTAATATACCTTCAAGTGGAGTTTTTGTTTTTCTTCATGCAGACTCTGAACATTTTTTCCTGTTTTTTTTAATTGAGACATAATTGACATACAAGTTTTATTACGGTTATTCCAAAGTATGGTATGTCATTTTTTTTCCTGGTATGTCTGAGCATTTAGCTTACTGCCTTAAAATTTCTAGGAGAGTTCAGTTGTGTCTCTTGATTAGCAAAAGCGTCGTCCTTTCCAGTAATTATACTTCTTTTTTTATTTTATTCTTATAGGACTGTCCAGAATTTCCAGAGTAATGTTTAAAAAAATAATAGTGATAACAAAATAGTGTCATGGTTAAGCACATGGACTCTACGTCCAACTACTTAGGTCTAAATCCTGGCTTCATCACTTACTAGCTGAGTGGTCTTGAATAAGTTATCAAACCACTCTGTGCCTCAGTTTCCTCACCTATAAAATGGGTATAAAAGAGTACTGAACCCCTAGGGCCATTGTAAGGATTAAATAAGTAAGTACAAGTGTAAGTAAAGTGCTTAGAAGGTATTTAAGACAGTTCACGTGACAGCAGACATCCTTTTTGTTTCTGATGCTAATCATATTTGTGATATTTTTAACGGTTTAGTGTTAGTGATGCTGACGTTGCTTTAGACTTTTAAATTTTAAAAATATTATTTGCGTGTATATGTTTATTACAAAAATTTGAAAAATGCTAAGAAACAAAGAATGAAGATATCAAGATAATTTGCAATCCCAAAAATAATTCTGTTAATATATTAATATATATAATCAGATGTATGTGTGTATATATGCTCATACTATTTTGTAAACATCAATTTTTAGTTAACCTTATATTGAGGATATTTTTATGTCATTAAATATAATACTTCAATACAATTTTAATGGCCACACATTATTTCATCAATCAATTTGCCATAATTTATGTAAACAGTTTCCCATTGGTAGACTTTGGGGGTTTTCCCATCTTTATTTATGTACAACTTCTCGGTGAACATAATGGACATTAGAGTTTTAGATAGAAGAACTTAAAGTGGCATTTGTAGTGGAGTTGGCAGTGGCACATCTAGAATAACAATGCCTCTCCATCAGCATGACCCAGGTTTCTCCTCCCACATTGTTAAAGTAGGTTGTGAAGCTACACGGATTCACATAAAGAGAGTCAGTTGTCATCATAAGGCTTTGAGATGGGTGATGTTTATCATTTAATCATGGCAGTTTTCTAGATTCAGACATGGGTATATGGTACAAGTGATCCTAAGAGATAAGCCTTCCTTCTTGAATGTCTTTACAGTAGAGTCACAAGATCAGTGTAATATTTATAACAACACCTAGGCAAGTCATAATTTATGAAAAACGAAGGGCTGATAAATATATTAAAATGGTTTGACCTCATGTAATAATGAGGTCATAATCATGTAATTACATAATGAATTCATGAATTCATTCAATGAATTCAATGAATTACATAATCATGTAATTCAAATTAAAACTAAAATGAGATGCCATTTTTGACCTGTCAGATTAACAAATTCCAATAAGAATCATAATACCCAAAGTTGGCAAGGGTGTAAGGAAAAAAATCGTACTCGTATATTGTATGCAGAGGAGAAATGGAAGGGCATTTGACAATATATATCTAAAGGATTAAAAATGCTCAGACCCAGAAATTCCACTTTTAAGAATATTTCTTGAGACAAAAATCATGCCAATGTATAAAGATATATCACATTTCATAAATTCTGAGATGCACATTTTTCATTTAGACATCCATGAAATTAAGATGTGTCTTGTCATTGATGCTGTCTTACATTTTATGAAATACTATATATACAAGGATGTTCTAAAATTTTGAAATAACCTAAAAGTCTGAAAATAGAAACCTCATTAGTTTGTGGTATAGCCATAGAAGAGAATATTATTAAACCATTTGACACAGAAACACCATAATATATTGTTGAGAAAATTTGAAAAAAGATTACCAAATAATATATACATAGTATAGTCTTGTTTTTTAAAAGTGTGGTATGTTCATTTTTCTTCCAGTTATATATATGTCTGTATGCATAAATGTATATGTGTGTGTGTTTATAAATTCACAGAAAAAAATGTTGCCTAAAATGTTATGGTAGTTATGTCTATGTGGTGGGATTATAGGTAATTTTTTATATTTTTCTCTTTGCTCATCTGGGTTTTTTTCCTATAATAGCTACATAATGCACGTGGGAAAATGTTTAAATGAGAAGCAAAAATTTGATCCCCGCTAATTTTAATGGCCAAAAACATAAATTAAGCAAAAAAAAAAAAAAAAAGCTTGCTTAGGCGGACAGGACTCTGTAAATAAAATTTGATGTTTAAAGCACATAACTAAGCAACAACAGAGTGCCCTGACCAGTATTAATATCATTTACTGAGGTTTAGAATGAGTCAGATACTGAGCTAGGTGGTTTATAGATATTATGTCTCAGTTATTCCACAAACAAACCTATGAGGTTGGAATAATTTTCTCAATTTATAAATGAAGAAACTGAGGTTCAGAGAGATGAAAGTAACTTGACTAAGATTGTACAGCTATACAACATATATTGAGAAGCCACAATCTGAAATCATGTGGTTGATCACAATGATATCAAGGTCATCTAAAGAATTACACACAGCCGTGTTGCTCCAGCATGGTTCCACTATATATATAAACATTTAACTTATATGCTGCCTTCAGAAAATACCCCCACCTCTAAAATATGATGCACATATCTTAATCTTCACAAAAGGAAATCTGCTTATGTGCATTAAGTTTATAGAGCTGATGTTAAAAGAAGAAATAGAACAAACCCTGAAGGAAAAATTGGAGTTGGTTAAAATTCTACACCCACCTCCTATTTACCTCTAAAGCTAAGATAATTAACTCTTAAATCAAAGATAGAATGATTTAAATGCCAATGTGTCTCCATAGAGCTTTTCTTTCTTCTTTTTTTCCACAAAATTTTTATTGATGGAATTCAAAATATAATAATAATTATTGAGTACAATTTTTTGAAATACAGGACTACTAATGAGAAGAATGGAATTCTTTTTGGGGGAGGGAAATAACATGTCACTTAATTGGGTCTTTTTACTTTTGATATAATTCACTGGTAATCTAAATGTAATATGAAGTGCCTAAAAATTACAGTATAAGATTATAGATGAAACGTTGTATGTGGTACACTATGGGCGATTAAGCAGTAGTCAAGGGCAATTTGACTTGTGGCTTAACATTAGAACCTAAATGCTGATAGAGATGTACCTGTAGAATCATTTGTTTCTCTGCCCCAACCGTCCAGGACCGGGTGGTTGGGGCGCAGCTAATAGACTGGATTACTCTTACGATGACTTCTTGGACGCCGTGCAAGAAACTCCCACTGGCAAAGCCAGATCGTCACGGATCAAAAGAAATGCCGCATTGTCTGACCACAAAATCAAGTTAATTTTTAACATCACAGGTAAGAATAGACTGTCTATTTGAAAAAGTGATAGATATGAAATTCTTGGTTGGAAACCTATGTTCCATGTGTTATCGCTATCAGGAAATGACCCTGCAACTGAAAATTAGGGTGAGCACCATCACCTAAGTCTTGTCATTTTTTGCAGTTTAATATCACAGATGCATTTTATGATTCTCATAGCAACAAGCACCCTGCTTTGTTCTCATCTCAGCATGATGAACTAAGGCATGTTTTTAAAAAGCAAGAATTGACAGGAATTTAATATGCTATAATGAAGAACTCTGCAAAAAAGTGATGTAGATCCAGCATATAAGAGAAGGATTAAAGCAAATTGTATTGTTCTTTAATGTTATCCATGTACTAGTTGCTCAGTAAGTAGTGGTTAAGTTTGAGTTTATTTTTCCTGTAAGATTTTTAATATGCCATTTCTTTTTGGTGAAAACTAACTACAGATGGCTTCCTGCAACACCATGTGTGTGTGTTATGTTTTATTTTGTCTTGTTTTTATCTCAGCTAGTGTGCCATTACCCGATGAAAGAAATGATACCCTTGAATTGGAAAATCAGCAACGACTCATTAAGACATTGGAAACTATCACAAATCGACTGAAAAGGACTCTCAATAAGGAGCCCATGTATTCCTTTCAGCTTGCGTCTGAAATGCTTGTAGCTGACAGCAATTCCTTAGAAACAGAAAAGGCTTTCCTCTTCTGCAGACCAGGCTCAGTGCTGAGAGGGCGTATGTGTGGTAAGACTTTTCCCTGCAATCAAAAATATTTGGTGCATGTTGGGTCAAATGAGATGGGTAGACCTGTTTTACAACTATAAAGGCATATTGAAATGAAACATACGTTTTGCTATTGTTGTGTGGTTGTTATTATTACTATTTTGTCTCAAGAACCTAAGTAGCCACTATTAGTCAGGACAAGAAAACTGTTTTAGGTGAGGGACTCAAATCATAGTTTTATTTACAGCTCTTTAGACCTTACAGCTTTCAGCAGCATCTCCAATGATAATAACTAATACTTTTTGACCACTTCTGTATTCTGGCTGAGCACTTCTTGTGTTTAATCCTGTTTAGCAACTCTGTGAGGTACCATTATTATTAAGCACATTTTACAGATGAGAAAACTGAAGCCAGGGAGGCTAAAACTTTACCCAGTAGGTCTAACCCATTAAGACAGTTAGGCGGTGTTGCTAAGATTCCCACCCAGGGAGCCCACACCAAATTCACATGGCATAAAATTAACCATTTTAAAGGGTACGGTTCAGTTGCATTTAGTACATTCACAAGGTTGTTCAGCCATCACCTCTATCATAGTTCCAAAACATTTTCATTACCCCCAAAGGAGACCTCATACCCATTAAGCAGTCACTCCCCATTCTCCTTCTCCCCAGCCCCTTAACTTTTAACCCCTATTCTCGACTGGATCAATTCCAGCCTGTTTCCAAATCAGTCATCATTTATAGATAGCAGAATCTCCTCTAGCCAGAATCTGTACACTCAACTGGACCAAGTGACATGAGTCTTGCGTTAATCTCTCTCTAGGCGTAGGATCTTGTATCCTGGTTGGAAAACCTTCCTCAACAGTTCTTGTTGCTATTCCCTGAGCTCAGTTGGCTTTTTCACAGTGTGATGAATTCAGCCCTCAAAGGCACATTAAGATTGTCATTCTGAGCCTGCTCCGATTTCCTCCCCACCTTGTGAGTGAAAATCAGGAATCGCTTGACTGGCGTTCCGCATTTCTCAGTGTGGTCTTCAGACTAGCTGTGTCAGCGTCACCTGAGGTACTTGTTAAAATGCATCTTGACTCAGGCCCCATCCCAGAACTAATGCATCTGACACTTTGGGGGCAGGGCCTTGGAATCGGCACTTTTAGTAAGTTGCCAGGTAATTCCTACACACTTGAACGTCTCAGAATCACCTAGGTACTAATTTCAAGTGTACCCTCTATAAGAATACTATCTTTGCTAGCAGCCTTTTCAGTGGGTTTAACGTTCCGCTTTGGTCTCAGAATTTCTGAGCCACTCCAAGCCTGCCAAATAGTAGACCAAACCTCCAAGGAAGGAAGGTCCTAAAATTGGCCTGTTTCCCCAGGGCCCGGTTCTGAGGATGCCTGTGGGCAATAGTTCCTACAAGCAGAGACAGGGGTCTACTTAACTCACCTATTTTAGGCTCACCACCTCTGTCTGTTTTTGTTTCTATAAATGATGCTGGAATCGACAAAGCAGTCAGTTTCATAAGGGGGACCATTCAGAGGAACAGCTAAGAAACCATTTTTATCTCAAAGCCTTAAATTAACCTAAACATTCATTGTTTTATCCTTTTCTTCCAGCAGCCTTTTCTTGGCTAGCTGTGTGTTTCCCAGGATGATCTGGTTTATTATAGCTTTAACTCACACTTTAAAGCCCCCATTATATAAGCCCTAAGTTTGGTCAACAAGAATTTGCATTTTTTCAAAAAAAAAAAAATCCACTACTGTTGGTTTCTAGGAATGCATTTCTGGAAGCTTTGTCTTGTGAGTAAATTTCTGGCAGTAAAATTTAACCCATAAACCATAGTTGCTTTTTCTGGAAGCATGCTTTATCACTTTCATGCTTTAGGAAAAGAGAACCAGAGTGTGTTCCATTGCTTCCATTGGAAGTTTACTATATTCAGTGTTTCCTGTTTGTTTTCTCATCAGTCAACTGCCCCTTGGGAACCTATTATTCTCTGGAGCATTCTGTCTGTGAAAGCTGCTTAATGGGATCCTATCAAGATGAAGAAGGGCAACTCGAGTGCAAACTCTGTCCACCTGGGACTTACACAGAGTATCTCCATTCAAGAAGCAGCTCTGAGTGTAAAGGTAGACAGCTCATGCACAGTTTGCCCAGAAGCAGCCTGAATTTTGTTTCCAGTTATGAAATCTAAGTGGCAAATAGGATGAAATGAGAGCATTACCGAAAGCTATGTTGTTAATTTATTTTTTCTTTCTTTTAATTATAAAACATTACCTGGATATTTCCCCCACTTTAAAGAAGTCCATTTATCTTTCCTTATGGAAACATTTCACTGCTCTAAGTCAAACCCCACTGTCGGTAACTCCGATCCACATTCATCAGTTAGCCTGGATTTTTTACTGAATCTCACATCAGTTGATGGAAAGGACTTTCGTGACTCTTAGCAATCATTAGATTGGTGTTATTATTCTTTTTCTTAGGATAATATTTGATATGATGAGATCAACTCACATTTACTTGAAAATGGTTAGCTATAGGCACATAGGCACGTGTTCTTGCTACTAAAATATTCACTGGTTTCAAAATATTTTTATTGTTATTCTCAATGAGTGTTCCTGATGGAAACATTTTCTTTCATAATTAAAGTTAGGGAAAGACACACCTAAAAGAAGGAATTTCAAAATTGTGCCTTCTTGCAGTTGCTGCAGATGCAGATGTGGATGCTTAATGGCACAAAAAACCCCCGAGAGCAGTTCTGGTTGATTGGAAGTGCATTAAAAAATGTTAGCAATGCTGAAAATGAGAGTCATTTGGAGGTCGAGGGCAGAAGGAAAGGATGGTGCACTGGGAGCCAGGGAATCTGGTCCTAGTCCTGCTCTGCTACAAAACCATTACTATGAATTTTAGAAAGTTGCTTAACCTCTCTGGGCCTTATGCTAAGCGTACCTTTACTTTCTACTCCACCAGCCCTCAAATAAAATGGTGTCTATAGGTAGGAGGAGGTAGGAGGGCCCGTTATTTAGAGCGACAAAGGTGCCAGTGTAGTTATGAGGATTGAGCCCAATTTGAGGTTTTGTTTCAGTCACTCAAGAGAACAGCGTACAAGATAAGAACTAGAACAAGAACAAGCTCCCCGTGTACCGCCTTTCTGAGATGCATATTTCTAACTTCGCTCAAGAACTATTTATTGATACTTCCGATGTGTCAAACACTATGCTTTGTAATAACAGAAGTAACTGGAAATGAGTCTAAAACTTATTAATATACAGAAGCATGGGGAAGTCTAAAATATAACGTATGTTCTTGGAGTTCTTCATGTCCTTCCTTCTGCCCTAAATAAATTAAAATGCAGAAACTCTATCCTACACGATGCTCATTTTGCACAGCTAATGTCATCGGTATTAACTGTATTACATTTTTTGTTTCAGCTCAGTGTAAACAAGGCACCTACTCATCAAATGGGCTTGAAACCTGTGAATCGTGTCCACTGGGCAGTTATCAGCCAGCATTTGGTTCCCGGAGCTGCCTCTTCTGTCCAGAAAACACTTCAACTGTGAAGAGAGGAGCCGTGGACATTGCTGCTTGTGGAGGTTACCAAAGCCTTAGACTCTGATATTTCTCCAAACCTACTAGGTTCTTTGTGTGGAGGAGTGGAATATTTTCAGCAAAACCGTATGTCTACTGTATGCAAAGAATGTAAATAACTGTCTCTTTATGGAGAGCTCCCTTTTATTCAGCCAGTCAATACTGAAGTATAAACACCCGCAATATAAACACTGTGCTACTGCTGTTTGAAGCACAAAAGAAGTACAAGACTTGGTCCCAGGTCCCAACATTAATAAACATGTGGCTTCATGATATGGTAGAAATACATCTCAACTGGAAACTTAGTTTCCTCATTTGTAAAATGAGATCCTGTCTAATGTTCCTTGAAACTCTAAAAATACAGTCAATGAATTATGACATTTCGTTCCCTACAATTTGAAGATTTGCATGAGTGGTTATCCTCTCTGGCTGCACATTAGAATCATCTTCACATTTACATCAGTATTTTTAAAAAACTGACGCCCAATATCCACCCACAGACGTTCTGATTCAACTTGTCTGGGCCTTGGTTTTCTTCTTAAGTTCCCCCAGGTGATTCTAAAGTGACAGGAAGAGTTGAGAACCACTAATTTTGGTTCTCAGATGTCAGCATGGAGGGCTTGTTCAAACACAGAGTTTTCGATTCAGCAGTTCTGGTGTGGGGCCTGAGAATTTCCATTTCTAACTAAGTGGCTCTCAAGTGATGCTGATTCTACTGGTCCAGGGACCACATGTTGAGAACCACTGGTTTAAATAGAAATAAAAAGATTAGAGTTGCAATTTTCAAATATTT